TTCTTGCTCATCAATCTTTGCTGGTATTTCTACAAAGGTAGGTGAAGGAGTAGAGCTAGCCTTATCTGGAAATGAAATAGGTGGTTGTCTACATGGAATGACTTTAATGGTCAAGTCAATAGGACCTGGGTTTGAATCCCACCATGGACATTCAATACCTGTGTGACTCTGGGCAAAATCATTTAACCTCTGAGTTTCATCAGTCTCTTCATCCATAAAATGAGAATGATAATAGCGCCTACCTCATGGTGGGCTGCTGTTTGCAAGTCTTAAAATGCTGTATGACTGTGAGCTATTATTACTATGAAATCCAAATGAGGCCTCAGGGGTTTGTCTCCCAGCTTAGAAGGCTACAGCTTTTCATTTTCCCAGAAGAAATTGCCAATAGAAGCCAATAGTCCAGGGATGGGGAATCTGCGACTTTAAGGCCACATATGGCCTTCTAGGTCCTTAAGTGTGGCCTTAACCTGCAGCCTTCTAGGTCCTTAAGTATGGCCTTTTGACTGAATCCAAATCACAATTTGCAGTTCTGTAAAATTTGGATTCAGTCAAAAGGCCGCACTTAAGGACCTAGAAAGCCACATGTGACCTTAGGGTCACAGATTCCCCACCCTTGCAATAGTTCATTCTCCACATAGCACCTAACGCTTGGACTTCACAATGGGAAAACCCAGACAATGAGATCTCAAAACAGCTCAGAGAAACAAAGAGAATCTGGTCATTTGAATTGTTCCCAGTTTTTCCTGTAAAGGTAGATAACACACCATGAGGTCAGTTTCTTTTGCTGGTTATTCACTATTGGAGAAGAAATGATTGACTCATAAAGGAACCATAGCCTGTGTCATTCACCAGGAGCCTGTTGCTTTTGACAATGGGCAGGAAGGCAGTTTCCTTCCTCAGGAGTGCTGAAACTTTCCAAGAAAACTCAGCATCTCTCTTCTTGGCAAACAACCCCTTGTACCACAGGTGAAACAGATGGGTGTCCACACACACACACACACATACACATACACACACATACACACACAACACACACATATACACACACATACATACACACACATACACACATACACATATACACACTACACACATGCATACACCCACATACACACACATACACACACATACACACACATATACACACTACACACACATGCATACACACACATACACACACACACACACACAGAAAGGGCTCCTTCAAATTCTTCTCTGTAGACTGGGGATCTTTTTCGAGGGACAAATGATCCTGGGACCCAGGTCTAAATCTTTACACAAAGGGCCAAACCCTCCACTCTCTTTTCTGATTGGTTCCTGTAGAGATGCTCACCTCAGATCTTGGACATTGTTTCTATTGGCTTACTGGAGTCTTCTGAGAACACCCAGTTGTATTATAGGCCCAAGCAGACTAGGATGCCCCCTCCCCATTCTCCCACCTTACCACCACTCTGGGCTTCTCATTGGTAACACTGGCTGGTTTAAGTGACTAGTTTTATTTTATCTCCTACTCAGGACTGTATAATTTAACTGCTGGTATACTGAGGCCTTGCAATCTAATACCCCAGTTCTCTGAGATGGCCAATTATAAGGACAAAAGTGTCAATCTCCCCAGTGGCAAGGCCAGGCTATAAGCAGGGACATAGAAACAGACACATTCATATCGCATGGAGACTCCCAGCCTGGCTGCCCCCACCGACTTCATGGGCATCCTGGGAATGTTAATCAGACCAAGTTACCATCCCCTTAACTGACACCTGTCACCCCTTCCACCATCCTATATATAGCAATGTGATCCCTAGAGCTAAAAAGAGAAAAAAACCCAAACAAACCACTCTTCCCCCAGTCACCTAGATCTACTACTCCATTCACAGCTCCTGCTTGGCTCTAGCCGAGGACTGCCAATATAGGGCCTTAGGTTTGGGGCTGGCACTCAAATTCTTATACAGAGTGGGGGGTACAGTCAGTGTGCAGAGACCTGCTCTGCTTCAGGAGTAACAAGGATGAGGATGGAGGCTGGGGAGGGGCAGAGAGCTTTTTGTTTGATGGGGGGCTTTTTGTCTGTTTTTTTTTCTATCCCAGAATAAACCCACCAAGTCTTTCTTCTACTAATTTATGTGAGTCTGGTCTCGGACCTGAAGTTCAGAAAATTAGGCAAAATTTTGTCTGACACTGAACACTGCACACCCTGACTCTTACTAGCTGTATGACCCTGCACAAGTCACTTAGTACTTCCTTGCCTCAGTTTCATCTCCTGTAAAATAAAACAGTAAAATTATGTAATCTTTGAACTCTCTCTCTGCTCTAGCATTTTATGGATCTGTGAACCTATAATGACAGTTGCATGGAAAAAGAAAATCCTAGAACATTGGCACTGGAAAGAATTTGAGAGCTCATCTTGTCCGACAACTCTCATTTTAAATATCAGAGGACCTAGAGCTGGAAGGGACCGTGGAAAGCAGCTAGTCCGACCTGTTCCCTTTACAGATAAAGAAACCGAGGCTTATCCCCTTGAAATGGGGAGGGTTGGTGAATTCTCCAAAGTCCCACAAGTAGTAGAATATAAAACTAAAATGCAAATCTAGGTCCTGGCATTCCAAAATCCAGTATTGCATCCCTTCCACCAAGGTGTCAAGCACGCAGCCACAACATGCCCAAGCGCTGCCCAACCAGATTAAAATATAATTGGGAAATATTTAAGAAAATAAAAATACAAAAAAAACCCCAATGCTAATATGTGGTTTCTTAAGTCAATATGCAGCTCACAGGGATCCTTATGTGTAATTCAGTGGCCCCTATTTCTATGTGAGCTTGATAGCACTGCCCTCACACCATAAGCTACCTCTCTATGAAGGGACTAAAACTTAAAACATTGAAGTGGCTTGTCCAACAGCACACAGCCCATGAATGGCAAAGTATGGCAGTGTGCATCATGCCTACAATATGCTTGGAGGGAACCCAGAGAGCACAGTTGCATAATTTCCTCTTTTGTGCCTTCTCTGGCCCCCTATACTACTGACCTGCTTTGCTAGTAACCGTTGAGTCAGGAGGAGGATGGAATACATAGAGACAGGCTGCAAACTAGCCCCACTGCCTCCAGAAAATCTTTAATGTAGTATGTAGTGTGGTTTTCCATGAGCTTTAAACTTCTTAGAACCTGAAAGCTTCTACATGGGACCAGACTCATTTTGATGAGCTCAGGTGCATTCCTATCCAGGATAGGAAAAGCAAAATCCTTGAAATGTATTCTAGTAATCTTCAAAGGGCCCTTAGTTTTGATAAAGAAAGAAAGAATAAAAGAAAGAAAGAAAGTAGGAAAGAAAGAAAGAAGGAAAGAAAGAGAGAGAGGAGAAGAGGAGAGAAGGGAAGGGAAGAGAAGGAGAGAAGAGAGGAGAGGAGAGGAGAGGAAAGAAAAGAAACAAAAAAGTGATACATAACTGTTAAGACCCTCTGAAGTAAATTTCAGTTAACCAGAAATCTCTATCAAGCAGAACCATCACACAAATATAATACAGCGATGCTTGCTGTCCATGATAAAGATCTTGAAGTACAGGGAGATCCTGAAGGTTCTTCAAAATTCTCCAAGAGAAAGTTAATTAAGTTTAGCAGAGATTTAGTGCTCAATGTTTAGTTTTTATGATATTTGAATTCTCTGAAGTTGTTAATGTACCCATGGCATTCACTCATTCATCCCACAAATATTTACTGAATGCCTACTATATCTAAGACCCCATGCCCTGTGTTATGGAGGATGCTAAGAAGAATAAACATAGTCCTCAGACTGCTACAGTTCAGTAAAGGGGATAAGCACATGTCCATAAATAACTTTAAATGAGGGAGAATGTGAAAATGCAATAATGAGAGAGATACAACTTGCCATGGAAATTCAAAGGAGAGAGAGATCCCTCCCAGTGAGGAACTGATACTTGTGGACCTAATAAGAGGGGTAGGAATTTTATTGGTAGAGTTGGGAGGGAAGAAAGAACATTTAAGGCAGAGGGTACAGCTTGAGCAAAGGCATCGTGGTGGGAAACTTCAGGGCATGTTCAGAGATCAACAAGTTGTCTAGTCTGATTGTCCCACATGGTATGTAAAGTGTAGAGCTTTCAATTAATCTGAATATTTAATTAATTAGAACATTTAATCAATTTCCCGAATAAGAGAGATAGCAATGTATATTGAATCATAGAACTGCAGAATTGGAAGGGATCTCAGAAGTCACCAAGTCCAAACTTTACGCAAAGTATGATTTTTGCCTATGACATCCCTGACAAGCAGTCATCCAAGTCTACTTGAAGACTTCCAGTGACAGGGTACTCACTATCATCAAAGCATACTAATGCATTTTTGGACAGCTCTGATAGGATTTCCCCCCCTACCCCTTACATTGTGCTAAAATCGATCTCCCTTTAACTTCTACTCATTGGTCCTGGTTCTGCCCTCTGAGGTTAAACAAGTGTGATCCATCATTCATATGACTATCAAATATTAAAAAAAAAAAAAGGATCATGTCCCCCTACCCCCAAGGTTTCTTTTCCCCAAGATAAATACTGAACAGTTCTAGTCATTGCTTATCAATGATTATCCTTTTTTGCCTAAAAATAGTTTTAAGGAAAGTGAAAGGGCTGGAGTGACTGTCCCAAAGAACATTGTTTGCTTTCAACCTACTACTAAGCAATTGTCTCAGAATAGATTTCACCCTGCTGACATAGTGTTTTTTTCCTTTGATTGATCAGACAAAAAAACATTGACCTCAAACCCTACATTGAGTCATTCTTACTTAGAGACACTTGAAGGGGGATAACCGCCGCTGGTTGGAAAAGTGGTGAACATACACACCTGGCTATGAAAGACTGGTCTGACAAAGGCTCTCTTTAGGAGCATCAAGAGCACAGGGAGAAAAGGGGAGCTGTCAGTCTTCTTAATCTCTGGTTGGATATTCATGGAATCTCCAAATTTCATAGCTAGAAAAGAAGTCAAGGGCTCCCCCAGAGTCCTACCTACTGTGTGCCCGAACAGGAAGACAGCCTCTACAACATCCTCAATGAGTGGATAGATCTGGCCATCTGTCAACATGTAGGTTCCATGATTTTAAAAAGACAAAAACAAAAAAACAAAGTAAAACAATTTGGCTATTATAGATGTAGATATATACACACATATATGTATATATTTGATTTATATATGGATTTGTTTACATAATAGATATATCTATCTATCTATCTAGGCATCTAGGAGGCTCAGTGGATGGAATGCCAGGCTTGGAGTCAGGAGGACTCTTCCTGAGTTCAAATCCAACCTCAGCCACTTACTAGCTGTGTGACCCTGGGCAAGTCACTTCACCCTGTTTGCCTCAGTTTCCTCATCTGTAAAATGAGCTGGAGAAGGAAATGACAAACCACTCCAGTTTCTTTGCCAAGAAAACACCAAAAGGAGTCATGAAGAGTCAGACATGACTGGAAAAATGACTAAACAACTCTCTCTCTCTCTCTCTCATATGTGTGTGTGTGCATGTGCGTGTCTATCTATACATATATGAGAAAATCTTTGGCTGAATCAGCTGGATTTCATCCACCCTATTGGTGGAGAAGAAATAGACAAAGTTGGATCCCCCAAATCCCCCGCCCAGAGGCAGGATCACTACATTAATTTTGTCATGCAGCCATTAGGTTTTTAGAGGATCTTGCCTCTCAGAAGCTGGGCTATAGATGCGCTCTGTTCTAATGTATAAACTCAGGGACCTTCTGCCATGACCAGATCCTTGTATCTGCTCCGAAAGGGCTCTTCTTAGAAGTATACTCCTGCTCATGAATTTCAAACCCCGGAATGGATCCCAAGTGCCAGAGTAGATGAGAAACAAACACCACTGAGGGACAAAACTATTTGCTTCATGTATTTTTTTTTTCTTTAACTCATAAACTCCCAGGACAGGGTCACACATAGAGAGCTGGAAGGGATTTCAAGGACCACTTAGTCCAATTCCATCATTTTGTAGTTGAGGAAACTGAGACCTTGGGAAGTTAAGTGCTTGTCCCAAGTCACACAGGAACTAAGCGTAGAGATGAGATTTAAACCCAGGTCCTCTGGTTCTGGACCTTCTCTCTCTCCACTGTGCTATACCATAGGTTACACCTAGTACCATCCTTTGCCCAGTAATCATAGCCCCTGCCACATTCTGAGGGCAAAGACTCAAGAATCACACAATGTTAGAGCCTGAGGGCAGCTTAGAGGTCATCTAGTCTAACCTTCTCAACTTACAAATCAGGAAACTGAGATCAGAGAAAGAAAATAACATGTCCAAAGCCCTAGTTATTAGAAGAGCCAGACTCAGAACCCACATCACATACTGAGAACCCTGAACCAAAAATCACAGAATGTCGGAACTGGAAGGGACTTTTGAGGGTATTTTGTCCATCCTCCTTGTCTTACAGATGAAGGATCAGAGGTCAAAGAGGGAAAGTGACTTGTCAAAAAGCCACACAATTAGTAGAGGAGCTGGGAGCAGAACTTAGGTCACTACTGAAGCTTAAGACTCAAGAATCACAGAATCATAGGATGTCAGAATTGGAAAGGAATTTAGAGGTGACTTAGGCAACTTAACTCATTTTACAGAGGAGGAAACTGAGTTCTGAAGAGAACTGATTTGTGCTTAGTTACACAGATATTCAGAAACCCTAAATTCTTTAAAATTCCTGGTAAAGTCTTAGGAGCGTCAGGAAACCTGGTGCCAAGCTCACTTTGTTATTGGTACATAGCCAAGTTTGGGGCTATACGCCAATGGGAGGAAGTTCAGGGACAGGGCATGGGCTCCAAGATCCTCCTGCATTAGACGGCACACAATTGAAAAGGAAACTTTCAATAGGGGCTACTTTATGCTTCCTCCGCCTGTGTTCCACTCTGTCTCTTTCCCACTAGCAGCTATACGGCAGGTTTGATTTCTCACACGCCGCTGCGGCTCAGCAGGGACATGATACACTGCAGGAAACGAAGCAGGGAATATTTTTAAACCATCCAACATGCCTTAGGGGGGAAAAAAACCAAAACACTTCCATAGACACTCTGGAAGGCATTTCAAAAAAGATTCCATGCCTAGAGGAAACGTTGTAAAACACACTCGACTTTTCGTTTTTTTAAGGGAACTCTCCAGCTCAGCTTCAAACTGCCTGGACCTGAATCGTAACCTGTTTCTCAGATGCCTCTCTTTTGCCTTCTCATCTGTCAGAGGTAGGCTTTAACTCCGAGTGTCTAGAGCTCTTTAAAATAGTAAAGGTTAATTCCTCCATTGGTCCACCCAACCTTTCCCCTTTATATTTACCAAGAGTAATAATCAACTAGGCATAGCAGTAGTGACAGAACATTTTTTTTTAATGGGTAACAGGAACACTTATAATCCTACCCAGCTTGGAAATTGACTTCTCTCACCGCTGGCCCATGTCTCATAATTCTTGTCCCCCCAAGCCAATGTTGTTCTTACCTGGTTTGCGTTCTCTTCAACTTTTCGTTTTCTTAAAAAATTTTTTTTCTTCCCTCTCAAAAGCTCTTTCCCGGCTTTTAATTGGTCTTTGTTCTTTTTCCTGTCTGTTATTCCTCTTTGACCCTCTCTTTTAATCTGTCTGTCTCTCTCCCTCCTCCCACTTTTTCCTACTCTTCCTCCTCCCACCCTTTTCCTCTCTGTCTCTCCCTCCTTCTCTCTGTCTCTCTCTCCTTCTCTCTCTCTCTCTCTCTATCCTTCTCTCTCTGGAACTTTTCTCATTTAAAAAGTTATTCCCCCCCCCCTTCTAGTTTCTCCTCCTTGCAATCTCCCCAGAAGGAGATAGAACCCGCCTCTGACAGCTGGTCTCCCTGAGTCCTTGGAGCTCACAGCTCTGTGTGTGAGCTGAGTGCACGCCTCCCTTACCGCATGGGCAAGGCTTTCCTGGAGCCCCATAGGCTAAGACTTCCTCTAGTTCCTTTTACTCCAGAACCCCCAAGTATACCTGAAGAATATTAGAAGCTCCCCAAGATCTCCCTCCTAGCCTTGCTCCTGTCAAATTGTGAAAATGACACATTCTTTCAACATGCAGTTGTTAGTAGGCACCTACTATGTGAAAAACTCCAGGCTAGGTGCCGAGAAGGACACAGAAGAAGCTGTCAATGAAATAAATCAGTCAACAAAACATTTCTTAAAAGTGTTTATTGTGTGCCAGGCACTGGATCAACAAATGTATGCCTAAAATCAGCTGGTCATTGAATGTTAATTTTCCGAGAGAAAGGTAGGGGGCCTTTCTAAGCCTCCATATACCAAGGAAGACACCAGTCAGGGTCAATTGCCCCTAAAAATGGAACTAGATTTAAGTTACTGAGAGATCTTTCTCTCCTTCCTTCCCCACTGCATTTCTAGTTCCTTGATCGAATCACTGATCATAGATGGATCAATAATTTGATGCATGTCATCAATCGGTTCTGTTGTGATTAACAAATTGAAATGAAGTAAGCCAGTCACCAAGGATCCATAGAACTCTAAAAATGTTAGAGGGCAGTTAGTCTAGCCTCATCCTACTACAGATGAAGGAGCAGAGGCACAAAGGAGTGATGGGTCTTAACCAAAGTTCCGTAGTGAGTGGCAAAGCAAGGTGTCCTAACTCCCAATCCAGCGATCTTTCCTAAGGTGTGCATACTCTTCACTACATGCTCGCCATGCAGCTTGCCACTTCATGGACTTGGCAAGCATATACGAGATTCTAGTGGTCATTATTCACATCTGGGTAAACTGAGGAGCTGAGAAAGAAAAGACATGACCGAACAAGCAAAAATAAATGTGTCGATGATGGCAGAATCCAGGGTTTTCCAAACCCGGTGATTTCATTCTCATCTCATTTTGCTCAGAAAACTTTGCCTGTTTTTGTTTTGCTTTCTTCTGATGGACCACTCTTCTGTAAGAGAATTCAGTCCAGACTGTCAATTGGTACAATTTATAGTCCTGCTTACATGGCTGCCTCCCTTGAAAAAATTGTAAGGTCGTATGTGTGCATATGTATGTATATATGTATATAGGTACACATATATGTTAAGTATGACTATTTCTGAGGCAGCTAGGTGGTGCAGTAAATCGTCAGGGTTATTGTGAAAATAAAATGGAATAATATATGTATGTAAAGGTCAGCTAGGTGGCACAGAGGATAGAGTGCCAGGCCTGGAGTCAGGAAGACTCATCTTCCTAAGTTCAAATCTGGCCTCAGACATTTCCTAGCTGTGTGACCTTGGGCAAGTCCCTTCACCCTGCTCGCCTCAGTTTCTCATCTGTAAAATAAGCTGGAGAAGGAAATAGTAAACCACTCTAATATCTTTGCCAAGAAAACCCCAAATGGGGTCATAAAAAGTCAGACAACTGAAATAACCAAACAATAAATTTGTATGGAAAGTGCTTTGCAAACCTTAAAGTGTTATATAAATGCTATTATTATTATTTCTGCTCCCTATAGAATCTCAGAGTTGGGAGAGCCCTCAATGGTGTTCTAGTCCAACTCATATCAGAGTATAGAATGGTTCCTAACCCCCACACCATTAGGGTCACCTGCTTCTGGAATTGCTTCTGTTTATCTAATAATCTGATACTTTGGATGGAATTCTAATCTCATCAAAGTGAATAGTCCCTCCAACAGTACAGCTAGCATCTACTTCATACTTGAGACCATGCTTTCCTGTGAATCCTCAACAGGTATGCATCCAACTTGCCAGTGGCCTTCCCCTGATTCATTTGACATTGCCTAGATACCATGGGACACATACGGACTGCCCATCAGTTATCCCTCAGTCTCCATACTTCCCAGTCCACTTTCTTTTCTGGACATACATCTCTCTGATGACTTCTTTTATCCTGCTTCCCCTATACAGTTATACTCTTGTGTACTCTCCACCTTTTTAATTAATAAAAAAGCATTATTGATTCCTTATATTTTTACTGGATTTACCCACTCCTCCCACACCACTGGAATTGAGCCTTCCTTTGTAATAAAGAAAAACCATGGAACAAATCCATCGGATAGAGTGACTTCATCTGACAACATACAGGGAGCACATTCTGCCCTCCCGGCCTCCTGGTCTGCAGGGAGGAGAGAGAGTTGTCCCATTAGCTCTTCTCTTCTCCTGAATCATCCTTCATTTATCAACGTTCTTCCTAAAATGTGGCTCCCAGAGCCGAACCCAGAATGCCAGCATGTTCCACCTGTGATCCACATAGGGCAGAGTACATACAACAGGTATGTGGTACTGTTTTGCTACTAGAGACTAGGCTTTTATTTATGTGGCCCAAGGCTGCACTGAGGGGCAGTGTGGTGTGTTGGACAGAGAGCTGCTTTGGAGTCAGGAAGACCTCAGTTCAAGACCTGCTCTGATGACCCGTGCTGGTTACTGCCGTCATATGTAAACTTACTTTAAAAAATATTTTGATAATTGATCTTCAACATAATGGTTTCTTTGCAATCCTACATATTTTATTTTATGCACTTAAAAATTATTCTAAATAGGGTTCATAGACTTCACCAGGGTGATTCAGACACAAAAATATTAAGAACCCCTATTTAATATGTGTCAGGCACTGGGATATAGGCTGAGGATATAGAGGCAAAAATAGTCCCTGCCTTTGAAGAGTTTACATTCTAATGGATGTGTGATGCTGGCTAAGTCATTTAACCTCACAGTGCCCCCAGGCCCTGAGTCAGCGAAGTGGTCAGATAGAGCTTTGGGCCTGGAGTTATGACTTGGCATTTTGAGGGTGGAAGTGTAGAGGGACAATCCGAAGTCTTCCATGAGTTTAAAAAAAAAAAAAGCTGCACACGTACAAGATGGGAAAGACATAGCTCAATAGCAGTTTGAGTGAAAAGATCTGGAGATCTTAGTGGATTGTGGACTTAATATAAGACAATAGGATAGCATGGGTACAAAAATGTTAATATGATCATTAAAAAAAAACAGATCTATGATTTCATTGGTTTAGGGAGTATGTGGTAAGAAAACTCCCTCTATCAATCCAGATCAGCACCTTCTGTGAATCATAGCTTTTTTGTGATTTGCCTGGGGGAACAAGGGAAGTAAACCAATATTTATTAAACACCTACTATGTGCTAGGCCCTGTGCTAAGCACCTTACAAATAGTATCTCATTCGGTATTTACAACAACCCTACAAGGTAGGTGCTGCTATTAATCTCATTTTATAGTTGAGGAAACTGAAGCAGACAGAGGCCAAGTGACTTGCCCAGGGTCACACAGCTGGTAAACACCGGAGGCTAGATTTAAACTCAAATCCTCTTAACTCATAACTCATAACATGTCACTTTGTGCTTCTTTTCTATAATGGTCATCCTATACACTAATTTCAGGGCCCATGGACCCATGCAAGTATCCCCAGTACCTTTAACAATCAGGTAGCCCCAGTGGTAGGAAGGCTTTGAAATGGAACTGTAAATGCTGGGTGGCTGAGCTGCCAATGCATGAGATTGTAGATTTAGGGAGTAGTCAATGCCAGAAAATCTAAAAAACAAGATTCCTCTACGTGGGCAGGTTGGTAGCACAATAGATAGAGTGCCTGCAGGGCCTGAAGTTAGGAAGACCTGAGCTCAAATTTGGTCTCAGACACATACTAGCTGTGTGACCCCGAGCATGTCACTTAACCCTGTTTGCCTCAATTTCCTCATCTGTAAAATGAGCTGGAGAAGGAAATGGCAAACCACCCCAGCATGTTTGCCAAGAAAACCTTAGATGGGATCATGAGTCAGATAAGAATGATACGACTGAACACCAATATGTCCAAAGAGAGAGTAAAATCAGGAACAAGCATGACCAATCTCATCTGGTAGATTGAGAAATGGAGGGACAAATAAATTGATGTAACTTGGTACAGAGCTAGGAATAAAACTTAGTCATATGGTTTCCTGGTCTAGTTTTGCGGTCCCTGAATCATGCCAGCCCTTGAGAGCCAAGCTGCTATCCAGTTACCACACTCTACTTAAGATGGGCATCTTGTTCAGGACCCAGAGCAAGGTTGCTTTTGCTCAGCCACCGATAGTCTGGTTTATTCTTAGCCTATTTCCTTCCAAGGCTGAAATGAGGACATTGACAAATGTAAGAAAATTTTCGTTCTGGGAATCTCAGGGCATTTTCTTAGTGATATCGGAGTTGTATGTAGCCACACGGTCCAAACTATAGCCCTTAGAAAATGTCTGTTTTCCTTTCATTGACTTATTCCCTCCTTCACCCTCTACCCTTGATACTCAGCATAGGTTGGGTCCTAAGAATGAGGCATTCAGTTTTGGATTTACACAGTCTTAAAAGGCTAAGGAGAACTTTTACCTGTGGACTCCCCGTGAAACCCTCCTTCTTCTAGCCTGTCACATTGCCATTCTGAGAAAACTCTGCCCTGGGGCCCTGCTCTCCTCACTGGCGACTCCCTCCCAGGACCACCATTTTGGGAAAAGCCCTAGCTGTGCTTCACTTTCCTGAATGCTTCCTCTTCCTCTTTGTCACCTGGTTGGCAGGACCTTCCTGTCAGAGCTTGGTCTCCACTAGCGCAGCCTTCCAGAAGCTAGGGTGCTTCTACAACACAGTGAAATGTATCTAAGTCCTGATCAGTGCAAACAATCAGTCCCTTAGAGCACCACATG